GTCCTTCCCTAAACTATCTTTCTGACTGAACTGACCCGAGAGGGTTCTGCTGTTTGCAACCAAAACCTGTACAGTGCAGACGGTGGAGGAAGGTTTAGGAGCCGGGGACGGGTCCTGGGATGGCCGGGACATGGGTGACTGTGATGGAGCTGTCCAGGAGGTCCTCAGGTCCACAGATGCTCTGCACGGCATCAAACTGAACATGCACACGTGTTTATTAGGAAGGGGACGGAAGGGGACTGGGCCTGACCCAGCAGATGGCCCCGACTCTCAGAGGCTCTGTTGGGCTCAGGCCGGGTACAGGAGTGGGGTAGCCCAGAGCAGAGCGAGGGGCAGCAGCAGCTGCGTTGGGTCCGGCTTGGGTGTGCCACGGGCCATCAGTGTCCGGATCCAGCGGAAATGCCTACTGACGTCAGTGTAGACCCCGGGCCGGTTGGGCCTCCCACAGCCCACTCCCCAGCTCACGATTCCAACCTGAATCCACAGGCCTCTCTCCTCGCAGGCCAAGGGTCCACCCGAGTCACCCTGGGGAGCAGTGTGGGTGAGCCCCGGGCGGGGCGAGACAGGAGGGGTTAGCAGAGGGGCTGTGGGGCTGGACAGACTGGGTGCAAATCCCATTCCTCCCCTGGAGCCAGCCAAGCCTGTTCCTGCATCTCTAAAGGGGCAATGGTCTCCACCCCCCAGGGTCGCCCTGAGGACCAAAGGAGGTACAGGGACACAGGCCGCTCTCAGGCCCAGGGCTGGGTGGAGGGATGCTGGGCCCAGAAGCCCCTGGCTGGGGTGGGAGGGGCACTCACGAAGCAGGCATCCTTGCCACCTTCAGCATCGCCGGCACAGACCATGTCTCCCCAGATGTCAAGGCGGAAAGCAGGCTGTTTGTAGAGGTAGTTGCACATGGTGGTGTTTATGATGCCGACCTGCACCTCCTGGAGGACGTAGGGAGCCGGCAGCACTGCCGAGGGGTTGAGGGGACAGAGAGAGATGGCCTTCTGAGCCCCTCCTCTGCCATCTGGTTGGGAGGAATGGCTTAGGCTATGACGGGGGTGGGGAGGGTTGGCCCTGGGACACCCACAGGGCCTGGGCCATTGCTCCTGATGAGTCCTCGGCGCTAGCCCACAGCCAGCACATGGTGGGTGAGGAACAATCTCACAGAAGGACCCAGTGGAGAGACAGGCGCTTACGGCTCCTCCCTGAGACTTGGTTTCCCTGCAGTAGCCCAGGATGCAGAGCAGCCAGAACCTGCCTTCAGGGAAGGAGAGACTGGGGAGGACGGCCCTCCCCCGCCCCAGGCAAAGCACCACGGAAGTGGCGGAGCCACCATGAGCCCAGGTCTGTGGATTCCCAAGTCTGGGCCCCCATCACCACCTCATCCTACAGGGGACAAGGACACTAACATGGAAGCTGATGTGTAGACAGAGCCTCCTGGTGGCCAGGCACTCTGCCAAGCTCTTGTGTAGGAATGCTTTTAAACCTCGGAGCCACCCTATGAGGTGGGAACCATTATCACCCCACTTTACAGATGGGGAAGCTGGGGCACAGTTAGCTGAAGTGCCTTGCCCAAGGTCTCTCAGCTAGCACACGGCAGAGCTAAAGTTACCCCAGGCAGGGGGGCTGCAGAAGGCGCTTCCTACCTGTGAGAATGAGTGGAGCCTGGGGTTGTGTGTGCCCACCTGCCAACTTTGGGCCAGGATGGGAGGGGGCAGAGTCTGCCTGGCTAGGCCCCCTGGTTCACATCCATTCAGGCCTTTGGGCCCAGGGAGGTCTGCAGGAGGGGCACTTTATCCAGCCCCTTCTAGGGGAAGGGAAAGGACCCCAACTCAAGAGGGAGGCAGGTCTAGTGTTGACTTCTCTGTCCCCCCTGCCAATTCCACCGTGTGACCTTAGGGACACATTACCCTCTCTGGGCCAGTGAGCCCTTGCTTCTCCACTGAGTCCTTCTGGGGCCTTGGGCGAGTCCCATACCTCTCAGTTTCCTCATTTATAAAGTAGGTATGAAGACGTCCCAGCCTCATCTGTGCGTACGCTCCAGAAGGAAGAGAAACCTTGCCCTGCTCACTCCTGAGTCCCTAGAGCCTAGAACAGCGCTGGGCACACAGCGTGCCCGCCAGGAGCTTTCTCTGTTGTTACTGCTGCTATTAAGGGAGATGCAGGAAGGGCCAGGCCAGGGAGCAGTGGAAGGGGCATCCAGGTGGAGGGACCACGCCCATTTGTGAGACTAGAGCCCCCAGGGCACCTCTGGGGAGGCTGTGTCCAGTGGTTTCAGGGATTCATGGTGAGAGGTAAGCAGGTGGCAGCTCATGCCCGCCCAAGGACTTGCAGAGATTTAGTGGGAGCCGAGGTTTGAGGATGGCTTGAAATTTCGAGGACAGAGAAGCGGGCTCAGCACTCCAGGAGAGAGGCCACCATGGCAGATTCGGGAGGGATGAAGGAGCCAGGGAGGGGGGCAGGACGGCTGTGGGGTGGGGAGCGTCCATGGTGAGGTGGGAAGAACACATGGATGAATCAACCCCTGAGGCCTTTCTGAACCAGCCCCCAACAACCCCCACCACCCCTGCAGGCTGGGGAGTGCAGTCTGGAGCCCAGCTGGCCTCCCTCTCCACCTGGCTTCCGGCTCACAGTCTCTGGAAGGGAGAGGAACTCA